TTTACCGGAGCTGGAAATTCACTACAATAACACCAGAGCAAGCTTGCAAAATATTCTCTAGCAATGTTGTGGGTTTAGGTGAGAGTGAGAGGGACAAGGAACTCTAAGTGCAACTTTGCTGCCAAGCCTCTGTCAAATGATGATAGCCTACTGCTACTAGTAAGTCTTCAACACCACGGCAACTTATTTTTCGACGCATGTGGGACTTAAGCAAAATATTAATAGTGAAAAGGACGCAGAGGATGTTACTGAGGTTGCAGTAAGTAGTTTAGGCAGGCTACAGCTAGAGATCAAGGACTATGGATCTACCGTAGATCTTAGATGTGCAATGGAGAAAGAATGTAATAAACGTTGGGACGGCAGGAGCTGATGGAATTGATGATTGGATACTACTTGAGCGGGAAAAGGAGGAGGAGACTGGTGGACAGAGTACCTCAGCTGGACTAATGTGTATTGGATTAGGCAACCTCTTCCCACTCTCTCTCTTCTGGAAGAAGGGTTAAATGCCAAAATCGATTGGAGAGCAGTAAAAATATGTGATTTTACTTTTATTTCTTTCAACATTCTGATGTCAGAATTTTTTTCAGATGAGCAAGGGTAACTGCGTCTGACGTAAACTGTTTTCTATAATTTCCCCAAATATATAATTAATAAACTTCCAGAACAAAAGAAGGCCAGTAGAAGCTTTCATCAAGATGATTATTCAAGAAGTATTTGTGAGAGGAAGGATGAATACAAAACTGGGCAGTAGATTAAATAGATTGAACTTCTATCCTAGTTAGAAATGTTGTTCTGCGTTATGTGGTGAGATATAGTTCTGCATACTGTGGATGTCCAGCATGTCTCTATTTCTCTTTTTTCTTTGAGCTGTAACTTCTCAATTGGTAATAATAGTAGTTTTATTTACCAAAAAAAAATTCCTAAGATGTTATGATAGTAATGGTTGGAGGGAAGCATTTGGGGAGTAACTCGGTGAGTTGTAAGTAATTAGAGTAAAAAAAATCTTTACCTTATTCTCGAGGTCCCAGGCTTCAGTTCTTTGCATACTCTGCATAAAGGTGTGCATGTAGCGTATCTACTATCTAGGGTTCAACACTTGCCTGTCTTTCACTCATTTCTCTTCTCTACTTCCTGTTCATCTTAGTGAACAAGGATTAAGAGATTATCCCTCTTAGCAGTGGAAGGCCGTGTATATCTTTATCAAAGGTTTGGTTCTGAAATCTAATATAGTGGCATAACGAGGTTGCACTTTTGAAGGCTGATTACGTCCTAGTGCATTCTATTATTCATCAAGATATTTGAGCAAAAAGATCATGATTTGGGTTTTCTTAAACCAGGGGAAAAGCAATGTGGTTTCCAACTAAGTTCTTTTCCAAATTGGCACATTTATGACTTTTATACAGATGGACCAACTAAGTTCTTTTCCAAATTGGCACATTTATGACTTTTGTACAGATGGACCAATGTATAATGTATTGAGCTGCCTTTATTTGATCATTTCGCGCTTTAAGTCTGAATGTTTATTGTCATTTTAGTTCATATTGTCACAATATGCCATAGTCCTAACTGTTAGCGTTCTCAAAACGAAAGAAATATGCCATAGTCCAAATATTGGAAACTTAAGGTAATCAAAAAGGAGTCTCAGTCACTTTCCTGGATAACTCCTATTTCAATCAGAGTTATATGCTGCATGAAAAGTAGATTTAACCACTTCGATATTGGGAAATATAAAAATACTCTAAGATCCGATATACTTAAGTTGTAAAAGTGTGTGGATATATGCTCGCTCAGAAGCATTTTTTTTGGTGATAAGGAAAATAGTTTCATAAATAATGGGAAAATCTCCGCTATACACACATTCTAACACAAACTAGAGAATCTACAACGTAATATGATTCTGTAGGAACGACAACCAATCTTCTATACGAAGTGGAACCTCATGGGTGCACCGAGAAGAAATTAGAATTGAGAGGCTATTCTTCTAATGTACACAAGAGTTCTCTATCCCTTGAAATCCTATTTCTTTCCTTTCATAAGAGGCACATAAGTGCTAGTGGGCAACACTCCAAGCTTTTCGATTTTTCTTCCTTCTGCTAAATTTCCGGTTGGAAAGTGCTTGCTTCACTGTTCTTGGCATTGCCAAGTTGCAGCAGGAACCATCTCATGATCTCACATCACAATCGAGTTTAGAGGAGGTGACCAGGGATATATGCAGGAATTTTTGTAAGCGGTGTCGATATTCATGGAAGAAAGATAAAATAATATTACTTATCACATTTTTACCTAAATAAGGAATAGCCTTCGCGCATTGGTTTTGTTGAGTCTTAATCTAGAAGAGGTCTAGAGTTCAATTCTACTTAACCATAATTTTTAACAAATAGAGGCTCTTTCTACTGGTTGTCAAAATATGTTCGAATTAAGGTACGGACCTCCAACCTCTAAGTGAAAAAGCAGGTGCTTGACTAGCGTGCCAAGTGACAATCTTTGTCAAGTGGTGTCATTTTTTTCAATCTATTTCCGCATAGTATTATTACTCATGTTCATAAAAAATTTCGATGAAGCGGTGTCGCGTGACACCGCTTTGTTCAACGAGCGTGTCCGCCCCTGAGGTGGTCCACATCCTCACCTAAACATTTTCACATGAAGCACCAGTTGTTCCACTCGTTGCCAACCAAGTAAAAAGCACCTTTCTTGGTGTCTTGGAATCCAAACAAATAAGTGTGGGAAACTTGGCTCCCTCACCAAGAGCGTAGGATAATAGGACTTTTACTGAAAAATGAAAACAAGCTGTCTCTTCCCACCCTCCACCTCCATGAGCCCTGAGTAACATGAGATGTACTCTGCTTGTAAAGTAATTCAACTAGATCTTGAGATGCAGCCATTTCCCCGTCCCTAAGGTTCCTTTGGACCCATATTGCCTAATGAAATCCTCCTCTTGTAACATGTGAATCTGTTGTATTGTCCTCTCCTCCTTGTTTGAGATACTGTGAACGTACCGGAATTTGAGTCTCAACTTCTCTCCTCCACATCAACTGCAACTCCCAAAGCTGATTCTACTTCCATTCCATATCTTGAAGGTTTTGTTTCCTGTGTAGTCTTCCCTTCCTTTAGTAATATTCCTCCAAAGTCTGCACTCAAAGAAAGTGTGATATTTCTAGTCCTCCATCCTCCTTCAATAATTCCATATATCATCTACCTACATAGAGGCTGGAGTGTGCTCCTCAATCCCGAATCTCCATAGTCATTTTCCTAATAAGGCCTTGTTGAAAACTCAGAGATCTCTTTCTTTGTAGATGTAACATCCTCCCGACTGATTGAGTGGAACTTCCTATTCGCATTTGCTAAACCCATAAAGTGTTTTCTCTTGGAACTTTCCAGTTTACCTGTGACAATAAGCGGTGCTTGAAGCAGTGACATAAAGTTTGTAGGGATGCTCGACAGAGTGCTCTTAATTAATACTTCCTTTCTACAAGTAGAATCTCTGCATTATTTCTGGTATATTTAGATAAAAGTTTTCATTGTCTAAAGTTGAAGTGGTCTTTAATGTTGTTGGCTGTTTTGTGTTGTGTTGCTACTTCTCTCTTGTAATAGTAACAATGCAAATTATGCAAAATGGCACCTAATCCCCTCTTTGGAGTCCATATGCAGATCTTCCACCTGATAAAGAACCATTGGACTGGAATACAAGGATGAAGATTGCAGCTGGTGCAGCAAAGGGTTTAGAATATCTGCATGACAAAGCCAACCCTCCTGTAATATATCGAGACTTAAAATCTTCCAACATACTTCTTGATGAAGGATACCACCCTAAATTATCAGATTTTGGTCTTGCTAAACTGGGCCCTGTTGGCGACAAGACTCATGTGTCTACACGTGTGATGGGCACATATGGCTACTGTGCTCCGGAATATGCAATGACCGGTCAACTCACATTGAAATCTGATGTTTACAGTTTTGGGGTCGTCTTCCTTGAGCTGATTACAGGACGCAAAGCTATTGATAACGCACGGTCTCATGGGGAGCATAATCTTGTTGCCTGGGTATGCCCTCCTCTCTGCCATTGTATTTGGTCATTATGATGTGTCCCCTCTGTTTCTTCGATTTCCTTGACATATAATGTGTGGAAGATCTGTATTTCCTTTAGTTATTTTTACAACTTTGGAAGGCAGAGTATTCTTTTTGCCCTTTTTAATGCATTGAGAAACGTGTTTGCAGGCTCGACCGCTTTTCAAGGATCGGAGAAAGTTCCCGAAAATGGCAGATCCACTATTGCAAGGCCGTTACCCAATGCGAGGATTATACCAAGCACTGGCTGTAGCAGCAATGTGCTTGCAAGAACAAGCATCTACTAGACCTTTAATAGGGGATGTTGTGACGGCTTTATCATATTTAGCCTCTCAAACTTATGACCCTAATGCAGTTGGTGCACAAAGTAACCGTGTTGGTTCATCCACTCCAAGGAGCAGGGAGGATAGACTACACTCCGCTGATGGAGTAGATAGCCCTGATGAACATAGCAGTGCTCACCATGGTTCTCCTTCCATCCAGAGGAATTCTCCTGATTCGAGGAAAAGAGATTCTGCGAGGGATTTCAATACTGGGATAGAGTTGAGGAAAATTGCAACTAGCGGTGGATCTGGTCGTAAGTGGGGTTTGGATGAATCAGAACGTCCGGATTCTCAAAAAAACAGCCCTGTCAGTGCAGGTAGAACTAGAGAAACCCCGAGGAATCGTGATCTAGACAGGGAACGTGCAGTTGCTGAAGCAAAAGTATGGGGCGAAAATTGGAGGGACAAAAAGAAGACAAGTGCAAGGGGTAGTAGTTTTGATGGGATGAATGAATGATTTGTGCAACAGCGTATGTTTCTAGGAATGTAGGTTTTGGGTGTCATGATGCAAAACCCGAGGTACTACAATTGCATCATTATTACGCCCTTGGTCATCCATACTCAGAGTTGAAGCAAGTGTCCTTTAATCCATTCTTATTCAATGTGAACTTGGATGTTTCAGCTGTAGCGGTTGAAGGAAAAAATGCTAAAAAGAGGGAAAGCAGCTTAATGGTGCAATATGTGGAGCCAGAGTTGGGGGATAAATGGGGGGTTGCATTGTGGCAACATGTTAATCATGTGTTTTATGGGGTTTCTAGAGTTTGACACAGGAGAAGTGGGTAAGATATCGGACTTTCACCACTTTATGTGTTCTTTGAATGGAGGAACTTGGTGGATATGGTTTAGGATGTCCCTTGTAATTCCATTCTTACACCTTGTGTTCTGTTGTAGTTCCCATCTGTATGGATTTCAGAGTCTTGCGTTTTGGCTTTTATAGAAAGGGGGTGTGAGTATCATACCGTGTCCCGTTAAACGAAATACTGTATATTTTGAATTAGCAGCTTTAAGGTTCAAACTGAATATCTCGCCACCATTTCTTCTGACTTGCTGAGTGACCTATGCAACAGTTTGGCATGTTGGTTTCCTTTGGGGTTGAACCTGCTTTCAACTAAGAAATTTTGCACCTTCATTTCAATTTGTTGTCACTAACTAAAAATATATTAGTGAAGATATTTCAGAAAGAGCATCATTAAACAGATTATAGCAGTTTTTAGAATATAAAAACTTAACCATGATATGTTCAGTTAGTTTGGTGCAAACACTAGGTGCGGATAAGTATTTACCCTTAATTTTTAGGGTCTCCCTTCCCTATCCCTCCCAAATGTAGTACTACGAAGAGGTTTAAAATAAATAAAAAAAGCTCCGAATCAGTTTGGCTGTAACAGAGGCAGATAAGCTGCCTCAGGTGTATGAAATGTTATTTACTCGTAAAGTGAACCAATAGGTGAAAAAGAGGTAGAGAAAATCTAACATAACGGCAACTAACTTCTAATCTGCGGCTTGTCGCCGTAATATTACTTTCCGAACTTTATATCCCATTTCTTCGAACTTAACTTGATGTTGGCTTTTGGCTGATCAAGCTTAATTCTCTGGGCAACTCAAAATTCTATTGCTGTTTTGCAAGTTCATTTAACATTTGCCTGTAGGCACCTACTGTTTATATTGGTAGAGCTTATTCCAATGAAAATTACGTACAAATATATACACCATACAAGAGCAGAGTAGCAGACAGGCAAGAACAATGACTTAGTAAGTTGATTTTCATTACATATAATGTTCAACCACAGTGATAAGACTAGCCATAATGGAATTGTATATTTGGACTTTGTACAATGGACTAACACATCATATCTGAATACTCTGATTCTCCTCTGCACCAGACAGAATCGCAATACCCTCAACATTGCAGCTTGAGAGCATCGGATTGACCAACCTGGTTAAACAAAATACTAGAGGATCTAAACCACAAAAAGAGAAGGCTATGTAAGTTAAGATGATCATTTCTTCCTCTTACCCTGTAAAAAGAGGGATTACGACAGTTAAGCACAATCTTAAACTCAAACAAAAACAAACACAAAATCACAGCAGAAATATTTACCGAGCTCACATAGTCATCCATTGATGACTGCTTCCGCTTCTTTAAGGTAGGAGAGCTTTCAGTTGCCTGTCTTGCCAAAGTGCGCTTTGTTGGTGTCATGTTCTGTTAAATACAAAAAGCTTTTAGCATCAAATGTATTCTTATGCTGTAAACAGCACTAAGAGGCCCCAGTACCTTTGCAAGTTTCTTTTCTTTGCGTGCCTGCCTCTCCCTCTCATCAAACTCTTGGTTTTCCCTCTCCACCAAC